GCTTGGGAGAGCAAGAAGCAGGTTGACCAAGCTTTGAGCTCGGTGGAGTCCGAGTACATGGCACTCTTCCGTGCCGTACGGGAGATTGTGTGGCAGCGGCGTTTGTTGGCTGAATTGGGGGAGGAGCAGCAAGGACCTACCCCACTGTACTGTGACAGCCAGGGTGCCATTGCTCTTGCTAAGAACCCTGTGTTGCATGGACTCACGAAGCACATGAGGGTGAAGTGGCATTGGACGAGGAGCATGGTAACCGCGGGTGAAGTTGAGTTGCGCTACGTGAAGACCACGGGGCAGCCGGCTGACATGATGACCAAGAGGCTGGTGGAGCAGCAGCATTGGAAGTGTTTCAAGCTGGCTGGGATGGCTCTGAACTGAGAGAGCAACATATCCTAAGGCCAACAATCCGAGGGGGAGTTTGTTGGTGCAACCCTACGGTTTGCACTCGGCTTGTTGTCCGTGTGCGTGAATGTGTGTGTGTATGGAATGGTATGAGGGCATGGGATAATATATATTTCATGCTTATAATTGTGTGTGAATGTTGAGTCATGATGTCGAGTGTGTGTGTCGAGTCAATAGCGAGTTATCGCTAGACGCGTGTTACGCGGTCGTTTGTGTCTCGCGCGCGGTTTCTATTTTGTCGTGCGCGGTTTCTATTTTGTCCTGTGTCGAACGTTCGGCGTGTCGCAGGTGTGTGCAGCAGACCCATCAAGAACTCAAGGATGAGTTTGTGATGAAGAGCCCGAGCCTTGGTGTCAAGCCTCAAGTGATTTCGAAGCTTGCCAAAAGGGTACACCTCAAGATATTGAAGATAGTTACATTACTTTGTGTAGTGTTACATTTCACTTGGTGTAGGCCCTAGTGAAGGGTAGTTTCGAGACCCTTCGTGTTTGGGGACAGTGTGGCACTGTTCCACATCACTGTACCTCGGCTCTTGGGGTTTGTAGGAGCTGGGAGTCATTCCCAACTCGTAACTCTTCCTATCTTGTGTTCTAAGACTATAATGGCTGCCATAGTACCGTTCGTTCAAACCGACGCTGTGTCGTCAATTCTTTATCAAATCGTGCAATCTAAATTGCTAATTGTAGACGACGTGAAGACGCTCCAGATCCAATTTGAATCAGGTCATTTGCAGCTGTGAGCAGAACGCTATCAACGTTTGAAGCCGCTGTGCAGAAATCCGTCTGTGCTCTCTATCTTTCGTTTTAGGCACATTCAAGCCTATTGTGACTATAACAGTCTAACTGTGCGTTTTCCGTCGACGACGTTTCTTGTGACGACGACTTTTCTGTCCAGAATTATAGTTGACGATTTTGAGATATTTCAACCCCTAATCTTCATAGACTCCGTCCTTAGTCTCTAACAGCCCTAAGAGGAGCGGCGGTCCGGCTGCGAGTCAGCCCAGGAGGAGTCGCTGAAGCCCAAAAGAAGGGGAGGGGAGGGGCCACCAAGAGTGAGGGCATGGTCCTTGGTGCCACGAAGGTAGCGGAGGACCCTCTTAGCAGTTTTCCAGTGCACCTCGGTGTGGCGACCAGTGCCAACAAAGCGAGCAAGCACGCTGATGGGGTAGGCAAGGTCGGGGCGGGTGCACATCATAGCGTACATCAGCGACCCAACGAGCTCAGCATAGGGGCGAGGGGAGGAGGAGGGAGAAGTGGGTGGGGCAAGCTGGTGGCCAAAAGGGAGGGTGGCGGCCATGGGACTGGCTTGCGCCAATTCTCCAAGACCTGGCCGATGTAATGGGACTGGGAGAGAGTGATGGTGCGAGCAGGACGGTCGCGCATGATAGCCATGCCCAGGTAGTGCGTGAGGTCGTCTAGGTCCTTGCACTTGAGGCGCTGCTGCAGTTGCTGCTTCATCTGCTCCATGTCAGCCTTGGAGTCAGCAAGCAGGATCATGCCATCCATATACACCAGAATGAAGAAGCGGCGAGGTGAGGAGCGAAGGAAGAGACTGGGGTCAGAACGCGAGGCAGAGAAGCCGAGGGACCCCAGGGTGGCAGACAGCTTCGGGTGCCACTCCCTTGACGCCTGCTTCAAACCGTAGACAGGTCAACGCAGCTGCCACACAGTGTTCTCAGGAAAGGCGGCGTGGATCCCGGGGGCTGCCGGAGGAAGATGCTCTCGTGCAGGTCGCCCTGCAGGAACGCATTGGAGACGTCCATGGAGCAAATCTCCATTTCGTCGCGCGCACCAATGTCAAGGAGGGTGCGAAGGGTGGGCGGCTTGGCGGTGGGGGCGAAGATGAACCAGTAATCTTTGGCCCAAGTCTGGGTGAAACTTTTAGCGCAATAGCGGGCCTTGTAGACCGGCTCCTCGCCCGGCAGCTGCTTCACCCGAAAGACCCACTTGCCCTCAACAAGGTTGGCATCGGCTGGGAGGGGGACATCAACGAAGGAGTCGTTGCGAATGAATGCCTCACACTGCTGGAAGATTTCCGCTATCCACTTGTCCACATCAGGGCAGGTGATGACCTCTTGGAAGGTGGAGGGAGTGAAGATGGTGGGGCTGGAGGTGGCGCCAAGGACGGGAAAGCCACGTAAGTCAAGGTAGAGGGAGGCAAGGAAAGGAGTGTGGTGCCGAATGTTGAGGAACTCCTCATGGGAGTCCTCAAGGAGCTGAATGGAGGCGGGAGAAGGGGCTCCAATGAGTGTGTCCAGGGAGCGGGTGTGCATGTGAGGGAGGAGGAAAGGGGAGGAGCGGGAAGTTGCCTGGTTCTGCTGCCGCTGCTGCTGCTGCTGCCCCTGCTGCTGCCCCTGCTACTGCTGCCCCTGCTGCTGACCCGGCTGCTGCTGCTGTTGCTGCTGCTGAGAAGGGGGAGAGTGAGAGGAGGAGGGAGAGGGGGGAGGGGGTGCAGCTGAGTGGGCCGGGGAGGCGGGTGAAGCGGGGTTGTAGACGTCGGCAGAGGAGGAAGGAGGGAGTGGAGCGGCGACAGGGGGGAGGAGAGGAGCGGGAGGGAGGAGAGGTGGGAGGACAGTGTCGGTTTAGGTGAGGGGGCGAGAGGGAGGAGTGGAGTAGTAGGGAATGGACTCGTCGAAGACGACATCAATGCTGCGGATCAGGCGGTTGGTGGGAGGGTGGAGGAACAAGTAGCCTGGGGAGTCGCGATTGTTCCCAAGGTAGACTCACTCCAGGGTACAAGGGGCGAGCTTGCCAGCACCGCGGGAGCGATCGGCCGGTGGGATGAGGACAAACGACTTGCACCCCCAAACGCGAAGGCCAGCAGCGTCAGGCTTGGCCTCAGACCAGAGTTCTATGGGGGAGGAGGAGGGATGCTGAGGGTGGGAGCGGAGATTGAGGAGGAGGGCGGCATGAAGGAGGGCATAGCTCCAAAGGGAAGGAGGGGTGGAGGCGTGAGCAATGAGGCAACGTGCAATTTTGGTGATTTCACGAATGCGACTCTCAGCAATGCCATTTTGCTGAGGGGAGTGGGGGAGGGTGGAGGTCTGCTGAATGCCATGAGTTTTGCAGAAGGTGGCGAGGGTGTTGTTGATGAACTCACCCCCACTGTCAGAGTGAAGGTGGCCAATGGGGCGTTTGAAGTGAGTGCGGCACTGCTCAGCCCAGTTGATGACCACAGCCGGCACCTGGTCCTTGGTGTGAAGGAAAAAGACAGTGGAGTATCGACTGTGGTCGTCAACGAGGACGAGCATGTACCGATGCCCCTGACGGGAGCGGATGGGATAGGGACCCCAGAGATCCATGTGAACAAGGTCAATGGGAGCGGCAGCGAAGGTGAGATGGCAGTGATGGGGGGACTGTTTGAGCTTGCCATGAATGCATGATGGGCATGGGGGAGCAGGGGAGGAGGGGAGGGGAGGTAATGCGGGAGGAAGGCTGTTAAGGAGGCGGGAGGTGACGGTGGTGCGAAGTGCGGTGAATTTGGGATGGCCGAGTCTGTGATGCAAAACTACTGCTGGGTGGGAGAGGGCAGTAGAGGAGGGGGATGGGGTGGGGGAAGAGGCGGGGAGGGAGGAGGAGGGGGGTGAAGTAGGGGAGGAGGATACCTGAAGGGGAGGGAGAGGGGGAGGGGGACCGGTGGAAGTACCAGCACGAGTGGTAACATGACAGAAAGAGGGACGGGGAATGCGGAGCGTGTAAAGGCGAGTGCGAGGGCAAATGGGAATGCGCAAAAGGAAGCGACCAGTGGCTGTGTGGTAGAGATCACAGTAAGTAGCAAAACTAGGGTAAATGGTGGTAATACCAACACCTTGGAGCTCTCGGTGAGAGAGGAGAATGTTGCAAAGGGTAGGGATGTGGAGACCTGTGACCTTACCGGATGGGAAAGCGGTGCAAGGGAGGGTGGAGAGGTGAGTGCATGGGATGGAAAAGATGGAGTCAGCACCATGAACGTGGGTGGGAAGTGGAAGGGGGGTGAGGGTGCCAGCGTCTTTGAGTGCAGTTTCTTTGGCCCCATAGTCAAGGACAAAGTCCAAGGTGGGGGAGGAAGGAGGGGAGGTGACACAGGGTACTGGAAAGACGTCTCATTGATAGCAGAGGGATACATGGAAGCGACGGATGGTGCAACAGCAACATGACCAAGGAAACGGCCCTGGGAGTCAGGGACACTAGGGGGGGCAAGGGAGGCATGAGCAGCCATGGCCGCTGTGCCGAAGGACATGGGCTGCTGCTGCTGGAAGAACTGCTGCTGCGGTGGCTGCTGCGGCTGGAGAAACTGTGGCTGCTGCTGTTGTGGGAAGTACTGCTACTGCTGCTGGTGCCGCTGAAAGTGCTGCAACTGAGAAGGGGGGGAGAGGGTGAGCAAGCGGAGGTGAGCAGGGAGGAAGGAGGGTAGGGTCTGGATGTCCACAAGGGAGGGGCGAGGGGTAACACTGTTCCAGCGAGGAGGGGTACCAGTGTTGCCGCGATCAAACCAGGCATCATCGAGTGCCTTGAAGCATGTGGCAGGGCGGTGGTTGGTCTGACCACAAGGCGTGCCGGCGTGGGGACCATGACGGCGAACGTACGTGCAGGGGGGGAGAGTCCCAGGGCGACCTCCACGGCTCACAGCTCCACCGGCACCAGACCTCTAGGAGTGGTACCACCAGTACCACCACCACCACCACCACCACCACCACCACCACCACCACCACCACCACCACCACCACCACCACCACCACCACCACCACCACCACCACCACCACCACCACCACCACCACCACCACCACCACCACGGCCACCACGTCCACCACCCCGACCACCACCACCACCCCCGCCCCCTCCACGACCCCCTCTGCCACCGTTGCGACCACCCTGGTTGCGTGGCTGCGTGGCATTGAGGGAGGTGGAGGAGGAGGAATGAGGGGTGGTGAGGTTGACAATGGGGGTGCGGAGCTTGACCTCCGTGTCAATGATCCACTGAACCACCTCGGTAAGGCCAGCCAAGGAGTTTGCCTCGGTGAAGGCGTACAGACGGGACTCGTAATCCGGCGTAAGGTTGAAGAGCAGACGATGAATCTGCCGGGGCTCGGGGAGGGCAGCCTGGCGAGCTGCAAGGCGATCGGCAACCTCATGCATGCGTCCCACGTAATCGACTGCGCCGTCGCAGGTGGTGAGGGTAATGGATAAATACTTATGGAAGAGAACGCCGACGGAGCTGATGTCGCGACGTTCGAACATGGACTGGAGCTCATCCCAAATCAGGTGGGCTTGCATATCACGAGCTTGGAAGCGATGCATGAGGGCGTCGGGGAGTGCACCGAGGAGGATGGTGCAGGCGCGGTTGTCGGCAGCAGCCCATGCGATGCTGTTGGGGATGTGAAGCGCCATGGAGGTGTTGTAATCCGCAAGCAGCGCTAGGCGAGTGGCACGGTCCAACGTCGCGAACTCATAGTTGTGCACAGCAACCTCATGGGCGGCTTTGCAGATGAGGTATTCGCGGCGGTTGTGGAGGAAGGTGGCGTCGGCAGCAGCTTGAAGCTCAGTGGTAGCGGCCTTGTCCAGGTTAGGCTTGGGAGGAGGAGAGCCAGGAGGGGGAGGGAGAGGAGGAGGTTCGCCAAGGTGATTGGGTGCTGTCGGCTGGAGAGTGTGCGGACGGCGAAGGAGGACGTCAAGCACGCAGTAGGGTCCGACGAAGGCGTCATGGAGGACACGGCGAATGCTGCCGACAAACGAGTGCCACTTGATGCCCGAGCGATCTGCAGCGAGCTGCAGCTTGTCGGCCGAGGAGGCGTCGATGGGGGGGGGGGGGGGGGGAGAGGGGCAGGAGGGTTGGCAGCCATGAGGGGCGACGGCGGGTGGACCCGCAGCGGCCAAGGGGGAGACGACGGCGGGTGGACCCGCAGCGGTCAAGGGGGAGGCGACGGCGGGTGCACCCGCGGCAGCCAGGGGGAGGGTGCTGCTGCTGAGGCTGCTGCTGCTGCTGGACCCCTCCGCCTGCTGCTGCTGCTGCTGCACTCCACCGCTCGCTGCTGCTGCTGCTGCTGCTGAGGAAGGGGAGAGGGAGAGGAGGAGGGAGAGGGGGGAAGGGAGGGTGCAGTTGCTGTTGCTGCTGCTGCTGCTTCTGCCACTGTTGTCGCTGCTGCTGAGGAGGGGGAGAGGGAGAGGAGGAGGGAGAGGGGGGAAGGGAGGGTGCAGTCGCTGTTGCTGCTGCTGCTGCTGCCGCTGCTGCCACTGCTGCCGCTGCTGCAGCTGCTGCTGAGGAGGGGGAGAGGGAGAGGAGGAAGGAGAGGGGAAAGGGAGGGTGCAATCGCTGTTGCTACTGTAGATGCTGCTGCCACTGTCGCTGCTGCTGTTGCACTGCACCGTCTGCTGCTGCTGCTGCAAAACTCCACTGCGTGCTACTGCTGCTGCTGCCGCTGCTTCTGAGGAGGGGGAGAGGAGGGGGGGGGGGGGAGTGGGAGAGGGGGGGGGAGGGAGGGTACAATTGCTGCTGCTGCTGGAGCTGCTGCTACCGCTGCCGCTGCCGCTGGTGCTACTGCTGGGTCGGCTGCTGCGACGGTGGAGGGCGAGGGGGGAGGGGGAGAGGGAGAGAAGGGGGGGAAGGAGGGTGCAGCTGCTGCTGTGGCTGAAATGGCAGGAAGGGAGCGGTGAGGAAGGGGAGGGTGTAGTGGCGGCGGAATCTGCAGGGGGCGACAAGGCAGTCACGGCGGCGGGACACGTGGGCAGGGACGACGCAATCGCGGTGGCAAGATGGGCAGGCGGCAACGGTGTATTCGCGGCAGCGGGAACCACGGGTGGCGACGGCGCGGTCGCGGCGGTGGGAACCGCAGGCGGAGACGAGGCCGTCGCGGCGGCGGAACGGGCAGGCGGCGATGCGCAGTCGCGGCGGCAGAAACCGCAGGTGACGACATTGCAGTCGCGGTGGCGGGAACCGTGGGGTGACGACGATGCAGTCACGGCGGCGGGATGCGCAGGCGGTGACGCGCAGTCGTGGCGGCGGGATGCGCAGGCGGTGACGCGCAGTCGCGACGGCGGGAATCGCAGGCGGCGACGGTGCAGTCGCGACGGCGGGAATCGCGGGCAACGGCTGCAGTCGCGGTGGCGGAAATCGTGGGTGACGGTGGTGCAGTCGCGGTGGCGGGACGCGCAGGCGACGATGGGGCAGTCGCGGCGGTTGGATGGGTAGGCGGCGACGTGCATACGCGGCGGCGGGTACCGCAGATGGTGACGACGTAGTCGCGGCGGCAGGATGTGCAGGTAGCGGCGAGGCAGTCGCGGCGGCAGGACGGGCAGGCGGCGATGTGCAGTCGCGGCAGCTGGTACAACAGGCGGCGATGTCGTAGTCGCGGCGGCGGGATGGGCAGACGGCGACGAGGCAGTCATGGCGGCGGGATGGGCAGGCGGCGACGTGCAGTCGCGGTGGCGGGTACTGTAGGCGGCGACGAGGCAGGCGCGGCGGCGGGATGGGCAGGCGGCGACGAGACAGCCGCGGCGGCGGGAGTAGGGGATGGCGGCGATGCGGTCGCGGCGGTGGAATCCGCAAGCGAGGAAGGCGCAATCACGGCGGGAAGGACGAGCAGCGACGACGACTTAGGTCGCGGCGGGAGAGAGGGAGAGCGGCGACGGCTTAAAATGCGGTCGTGCGGAGGGAAGGCAGCGACGCAAGGGTCGCGATGTGAAGTATGCAAACGGGGCTAGTAGAGCTACGATAGGAATGGGTTTGTAACTGTAGGGTGGGCCCATGGAAGGAGTAACTGGAGGGGGGGAGAGGTAAGGCCAAGGAAAAATTACCTCTATACCATGTGAAAGTTGTAAACTGAACCATTATTTGGATTAGGTCACAAGAGAGCATACATAGGATGGTGAGATTGGATGGAAGAGGAGCTTGGAAGAGAAGGGGGGGAGTTGGGTGGTTGGCAAGTCCCATGCCAACTTGCAAGGAGGGGGCACCCAACTTGTGGGTTGCAAAGGGGGGGTACCCAACTTGGCCTTGGGGGCTCCAACACTTATGGGTTGGATTGGCACCCCAACTTGCAAGTCTACACCCAAATGTTGGGTGTAGGCCTAAAAAGCAAGCTACACCCAAAGTTGGGTGTAGGCCCAACCCCTTTACACTTAGCATGCTATACATAGAATTCTAACACAAGACTGGGATCTGCCGACCCCCCTAATCGAGTCATCGCCGCACGACGAGGATTTAATTAACTCACCATCCATCCACAACTACTTCTACGGACACTACATCGATACTCGTCCCGTCGACAAATACCGTTGGGCCGGCGACAAGCGTATCCCCTTCCGCAACACACCAAATCTTGAGATCTCGGCACACAACCGAACCAACGCCTACAACAGATTTCGATATCCCAGACTGCCGCGCCGATTCCGGAGACCTCATCAACCTCCAACCTCAGCGCGCAGTGTGGCCATACGAACTCGCCCATCCTGATGGGCGCCCCTGGGTCAAGCATCACGCTCATCCCAGGGAGATCGACCTACACGCACCCGGACCTAATGGTCTCTGTTGCACACCAACAACCTCCACCACAAAAGACAAGGCAGACAAGGGGAAAACACCGACGGACGATAAGGGCAAGGCACCTACTGACAAAGGATAAGCATCAGTCGCAGCTGAGAGACACAGAGCAACAGCTGAAGAGAAAGGGAAGGAAAAGGTTAGTGAGGATGAGGAAGCATAGCCCTCTGACGAAGCAGAGCCCTCCGAGGAAGAAGAACCATCCATGCCCCTGGACATTGTCGAGGAAGTGGAATGACAGACTTCACACGCCACCGGCGTGAGAACTGGCGAACTTGCTGCAGTACTCATTATCCATCAGCCACGCAAAAAAACTGATGATCCCACCGTGCACGACCGCCTCCACCTTCTCACTCGCTACACAGGACCTAGAGCCTTTGACACCAATAACAACCCTCTCCCTCTGGACTGGGAAACTTACCACATCACATGCCCTTGGTCTCGCTGCACTATGATAACTGAAGAGTTACAGCGGCGAGAGGAAGAGGAAAATGGCTGTCGTGCAGATGCTGAGTCAGCAGCGACGGCAGCAGCCGCCAACAAGGACTGGGGCACAAGTGCTGGAGCAGCTGGTTGGGGAACGCCAGCACTAATTACTACCAACAACGCCTGGGGAACGGGAAGCAGCCCAGCAGTAGGACAATGGGGTGCTACCACAACTGAGGTTGAGGAGCTAATCGAAGACTCATTGCCCTTGTAGAGAACGGAGCAGCAAAGGAAGCAGCTAGGCCCTATGGGTCCCCTAAACCCCTAGGGATCTCCCCTTCAGGAAGCTCATCTCCCAACAACTCCAGGGCCTCCTCCAAATCCTCATGACCCCCCTCTGACCACGACACTATACTGCCCTACAGCACCTATCCTCACAGCCCACTGCCTGCTGAGTCCACACCCATCGTCCCCCATGACCCACCCATCTCTGGCCCCTCCACCATTCACGACCTACCATCTCATCAAATTCCCCGCCCCAACATCACCAAAGGCACAGTCGACACAGCTGATCCCATAGCACCACTTGCTGCCCTCACAACTATAGCACCAGACACACAGCTCACCGCTCAAGACCTAGTCCTTGCTCTAGGCCTCTCCATCTCACCACAGCCCCTTCCACGACCTGCAACCACCAATACCACCAAACTGCTCGCCTTCTTCGCACACTCACCCGCACTCCGCACGCCTCCTGACCTCTGGCACAAGCGCCTCAGTCGCCCCTCTCAGGAAGTTCTCAACAACTGCATCCGCGCCGGAGTCTTTATTCCTGACACACTGATCCGCCCTGACGGCACCCCTATAACCTAACCGCCGCACCGACTGCACAGCTTGCCCTAAAGCCGCACTGAACCACAAGCCCTTCAAGCTCCTCGAGCCAAGCACAAACCGCTACGCCAAGCTCCAGAAAGTCTATAGTGTCTTTCTTGTTCTGACACAGGCAGGCATCAACGGCGAGGAATATACCCTTACCTTCGTCGACGCCCACTCTCGCTTTGTCTGGGTGGCCAAAGTCTCACACAGGAGCAAGGCGTATGACGTCTTCAAGGTTTGGCACAGCAACGCCGAGACTCAGTCCGGCTGCAAGCTCTAGCTTTGGCAAACCGAATGCGCAGCCAAGTTCAAAAGTGACAAGCTGGCGACATACCTTCAGGACAAGGGGATTGTTCACAAGCTCTCCCTCCCCTACGTGCACCCACAACAAGGCGTCGCCGAGCGCACCAACCGCACCCTGATAACCAAGGTTCATGCTCTTCTGCAATAGAGCGACGTTTACGCAAAGTACTGGCCCTTTGCCATGCATCACGTTGCCCGTCTTCACAACCTGCTCAGCACCACCGCCAACACTGGTTGTCTCTTGCCGCACGTCAAGTTCACCGGCGAGAAAGGCGATATCTCCATGCTCCACGTCTAGGGCTGCACGGTGCAGTATCGGCCCACAGCGGCGAACACAGGGAAGTTCGAACGTCACGGACGCTGGGGGGTGCATCTCGGCATCAGCTTCGAGCATCACGCCTGGAACATCCTCGACCACGATACTTATCAGGTGGTCGCGGCGCGCGACGTCATCTTCTACGAAGACCTCACCATTCGCAAGTTTCAGAGGGACCAATACGCCGACAGACTCCAAATCGGCAGACAAACAGATCGCATGGCAAGCTACAGTCGTCCTCCTCGCAGCTACGCAACTCCCGCTGACGAAGCCGAAGCCTCGTTCGCAGACCAAGACCCAACGGACCCCCACCAAGGACCATGCCCATGGGACGATGCGGACGAGGACGAGGACAGCGCACCTCTCGACTCCTCTCGAGACTCCCTGCTCAGGCCCACCCCCTCCTCCGTACACGACTTTGACAACAATGTGGTGGAAGTCACCAGCGAGCAGCATCACAGCCCCGGCTGTTATTGTCACAATAGGCTTGAATGTGCCTAAAGCGAAAGATAGACTGCACAGACGGATTTCTGCACAGCGGCTTCAAATGTTGATAGCGTTCTGGTCGAAGCTTCAAATGACCTGATTCAACTTGGATCTGGAGCGTCTTAACGTCGCCTATGATTGCACGATTTCATTCAGTATTGACGACACAGAAACGGTTTGAACGAACGGTAGTATGGCAGCCACTATAGTCTTAGAACACAAATTAGGAAGAGTTACGAGTTGGGAATGACTCCCAGCTCCTACAAACCCCAAGAGCCGAACCACGAAGGGTCTCGAAACTACCCTCCACAAGGGCCTACACCAAGAGAAATGTTACACTACACAAAGTAATGTAACTATTCTCACTATCTTGAAGTTTACCCTTTTGGAGAGCTTCGAAATCACTTAAATCTTGAAACCAAGGCTCTGGTTCTTCAAGATAAAATCTTCCTTGAGTTCTTGGAATTCTGCTGCGCACACCTGCGACACGCCGAACGTTCCACACACGACAAAATAGAAAACCGCACACGACACGCAAACAACGACGTGACACGCGAAAAGCGATAACTCGCTATTGACTCGACACACACATTCAAAACCATGCCTCATCATTCACACAGTATAAGAAGCATGAAATATATATTATCTCATGCCCTCATACCATTCCATGCACACACGCATGCACGCACACGGACAACAAGCCGAATGCAAACCGTAGGGTTGTACCAACAAACTCCCCCTCGGATTGTTGGCCTTAGGAACTTGCTGTCTCAGTTCAGAGCCATCCCAGCCAGCTTGCAACACTTCCAATGCTGCTGCTCCACCAGCCTCTTGGTCATCATGTCAGCTGGATGCCCCGTCGTCTTTACGTAGCGCAACTCAACTTCACCCGCAGCCACCATGCTCCTCGTCCAATGCCACTTCACCCTCATGTGCTTCGTGAGGCCATGCAACACAGGGTTCTTAGCAAGATCAATGGCACCCTGGCTGTCACATTAGAGTGGGGTAGGTCCTTGCTGCTCCTCCCCCAATTCAGCCAACAAACGCCGCTGCCACACAATCTCTCGTACGGCACAGAAGAGTGCCATATACTCGGACTCCACCGAGCTCAATGCTTGATCCACCTGCTTCTTGCTCTCCCAAGCAGTTGGGCCTCCACCAACACAGCAAATGAACCCTCCAACACTTGTCATGTCCTCTGGTTCCGATGCATAAGAAGCATCTGAGAATGCGGTGAGGAACAAACGCTCGGGTTCAACA